TTTCACCAGCGTTTTGCTAGCGTTTGCAGCGGCAGGCGGAGTTAGAGACTATGGGAGAGAGCTGGAGGGTACAAAACACATCGATTGCGCGTCTCTCACTCGCCCTTAGTCTCTACAATACACATCGCTTCTGCGTCTCCGACGGCCACATAGTCTCTACTATACACATCGATTCCGCGTCTCTGCCGGCCACATAGTCTCTACAATACACGTCGATTCCGCGTCTCTCACGGCCACATAGTCTCTACTCCCTGCCGCTGCAAGCGTTATTTAGCAAAACGCTGTCGTGAACGCTGGGAAAACGCTGGCGGTAACGCTAGCGCCTACGCTAGCGTTCATTCCTCGTCCTCGCACGGCGGCTGGCGTACGCTGCCGAAGCGCCTACGCTACGCTGCCGCAAAGTATAAACGCAAGCCAGACGCCTGGCCCTTTTGCAGTTTCGAAGATCAGGTGGGCCGGACACGTCATGCGTTTCGAGGACGACCGCTGGACCAGAGCGATCACCGACTGGATTCCACGGGATGTCAAGCGAACGCCTGGACGACCGCCTATGCGATGGTCAGACTTCTTCGTGAAAGCTCTGAACGAATGGTATGAAGTTCATCGTGTCCCTCGAGCAGAGAGAGTTCATTGGGCAACTCTTGCACGTTGCAGGGACGAATGGAGACGTTACTGGCGCCCGCTCGATCAACTCGATAATCAACGGGAGCACAGGTGATGCAGTTCGGTATGCAACAGCCGTACAGCACGAGCTATAAAACGCACCTCAAACTTGGGTAACTAAACCGATTACGGTGCGCCGATTGTGTGCGTTCACGACGCGACATTTTTAACTTCACGCGCAATTTTCGGGGGTACTGTACGCAGCCTGACAACCTGAACTTATAATCTTGTGTCAAAATGGGTTCGATCAAAGGCGAGTACTTCATTTCATATCCTATCATCAATGCTTATCCTTCTACAAGGTTTTATAGGAGTTATTCAAAGACACGATTTACCTATGCGAGAGTTTGCTCGAGGAGATGTCGTTACTATTTCAATGCTCAGTAATGGACAAGTGATTGGGCCTGTGGCGGTTGGTACCGCACTAATGTCATCGCAAGACATGATAGCAAACAAGTTTACCGTAAGTGCTAGTATTTTAGCAAAGAGGAGTTCCGTGATAACCGGATGGGCAGGGATTGGTTACCATTGCCGCTACGATTGTGTGCCCCCCTTACGTTTACCGCGGAAAGGGCTTTTGAAGTGTCTTAGGGTCAGCTTCAGGGTAGGGGATTTTCACATGGGAGAGAACACAACTCATTCTTACGTGTTTGGTTTCAGGGAAGAGGAGTCCAGCCGCTGCATATTTACAGGGATTTCCTATGGTGAGATTCTTGTGGTTAGACTTTGTAAATTAAAGAGTTTCCATTCTGTACCGGTCTTCAGAATACCCACCACCTCTCTTTGACCTTTATTTCATGTTTCACGGATCTTGAATTCTATTTACCATTATTGACCTGAATTTATAGTTTTTTTTTCTTGAAAACCTTCAATATTGAGTATCTTGGTATTTTCGAAGTTTTCATTGATTGCTTTGATCTTCGGCGCTAATAACCTCGAGGAGTAGTTCAAGAGTATTCTGTGCAAAACTGGTGTCAGCGTAGTGGCGAGGTGAACTACTTTGAAGTACAGTAATTTCATTCGGATGATTTCAATCCCAGGTTTGCACAACGGATCCTTTGAATGCCCCCCATGGCTACTAGCGCGTGGTTTCTGGAGATAATCGACAGTTTAATTTCCAGTGCTTTGTCGAATAATGAGAAGTGTTAAGGGAGTTTGGATCACGTGTAACTCCATCACCACTGGATTTGAAGTCCCTTTATAAAGTCGAGGAACCCCCTGAAACATCACCGGGAGAGGATTTCCCACCTTTAACTGCTCTATCCGTCTCCGATCAGAATGGCGATGTTGTAGTCACTGAAGCACAAGGCAAGTTGCTGACTTCTAGAGCCGTCCACCCCCTCTTACCCGGATTGTTTTGGCGCACTAGAGGAAGTGGCACATCAAGCCGACGAAGTACTTTCTTGTAGATGAAAATTCTGTTCAAACAGCTGCTGCAGAAGATAATGATGATGACGTGGAAGAGGAATCCATGGATCAACTAGTAAGGTGTTTAGTCCACAGAATTTTTCGGAGAGAATGATCTCGTAAACTACCAGTTTATATTTCAGCTGTATCGCTGTTTCCTAGCTGCGCTCAAGTACCGGTTAGACCAACTGCCTATAGACGTTGGGCAGGTTGGTTTTCTCAAATCTTTTGTGTCATCCTATTTAGAGGCAGTGGGGGTGATTGACTAGAAGGTGAGACAACAGTTTGAGCGTCATTTGTAACCACACCACTCAGTGCGTCCGGCTCAAAGCCCGACTTCCAATGACGCCTGAACAGTTGTTCAATGACGCCTGAATAGTTTTCCCGCCCTCTAAGCGGCGCATCCTTTGCGTTCAGTTTTATCGGAGCCCTGAGGGATAAATTTCTCAGATAACTTCGTAATTCAGTTTTACGCGACTTGTTTGCTCAAATGCGTCCCAAATGGGAAACGATTGGAGATGAAAAGGACAAAATATAAGAAATTCAGCGTATTTCTCGAAGAGGTAAAGCGATAATATTTATTCACTCCATTACTCACTATTAATTTAGAGGCTCAGGAAGTTGGGAGGGAAAGCACGGCGAGACAGTGTCGCGCCCATTTTACTCGTCCGGTACCTCTACTGAAGCTGAGCGCTTTGGTGGCGGGAATCACAATCAGGTTGAGAAAGCGCAGATGGGCGGGTTTCGTTGCGCTTTTAAGTCTCCGCTCCATTCTCTTCAGCCGATTGATTTTACTGTACTAAGGTGTATTTAAGGTTAACAAAAGCGAAGATGGCCCAGTTGTGAAGATCCGAAAAGAGGGAAAAGGATGCGATATGATTGAAGAGGTCTGCCTCGTTGGTGACTGAATGGTTTCTTCTAGATTTCTTCTAACCGGACCTGTCTTCAAGGTTTTCAAAAATCACCCGGCGCTACGATCGTTTGCAGTCACGGATGAGGTTACAAAAGACGAAGATGGTGAACCAACGATGTTAGGTCCCAAA